ATATATATATATATATATATATATATATATATACATTCTTTTTGACATTATTTTTATTTTTAAATACTAACAACAAAAAATTGGAAAACAAAATTTAGAAATATCATTTACATCCTCAAAAAATTAAACATAAAATTACCATACAATCCAGTAATTCCACCTCTGGAATATAAACCAAAAAATTGAAGACAGGGACTTGAACAGATATATGTACACCAATCTTCATGCCAGCTTTATTCATAATAGACAAAAGGTGAAAATAATCTTCATGTTCATTGATAGATGATCAGATAAACAATATGTGATAATATATACAATGGAATATTATTCAGCCAGAAAAAGGAATTAAACCATGACACAGGCTGCAACATGGATGGACGTTAAAGACACTATGCTAAGTGAAATAAGGCACAAGAGGAAAAGTACTGTATGATTCCATGTATATGAGGTCCCTAGAACAGTCAGATTCACACAGACAGGAAGTAGAGATAGGGCTGCCAGGGGCTGGGGGTGGGAGTGGAGAGTTATTATTTAATGGGGACAGAGTTTCTGTGTAAGATGTTGAAAAAGATCTGGAACTGAATAGTGGTGATGGTTGCAGTTAACGTGGGGACTTAATGACACCGAACTGTACATTCATAAATGGTTAAAATGATACATTTTATGTTACGTATATTGGATCACAATAAAAAATATCATTTACAGTATCATCAAATCCTTGGAATAAAATTAATGAAAGATGTGCCAACCCTCCACTCTGAATACTACAATTGCTGAGTGAATTTTACAAAAACATGAATAGATGGAGAGAAATACCATATTTATGAATGGAAAGACTCAATATTATTAAGATGTCAAGTCTGCCCAAGTCGATCTATAGATTCAATGCCATCTCTGTCAAAACCCCTTGCTTTTGGCCTTTGAGCTTTGCATTTGCTTCGGAGCTACTTTTTTAATAAACAAGCTAATTATAAAATGTATATGAAATGCAAAAGATCCAAGTAGCCAAAACAATCTTGCAAAAGAAGAGAAGGGGGAGGAAAAGAAATAAGAAGATGAATAAGAGAAAAGGGAGGAGGATATTCACACTACCATGTTTCAAAACATACTATAAAGCTATGCTAATTAAGAGTGCCATGGTATTGGCATAAGAATAGACAAGTAGGTCAAGGGAACAGAATAGAAAGTCCACAAATATACCCACACAATATGATCACTTGATTTCAATGAAGACACCAATGAACTTCAGCAGGGGAAAGAAAACTCTTTTCAATATAGTATAAGAATAATTGGATATCTTTATTACCCCACACTGTACACACACCCCCCAAAAATTAATTCTCAATGGACGTGAATCTAATATCTAAATGTGAGGGCTAAAACTATAAAGCTTTTTGGAGGAAATCATAGAATGATGTGTTTGGGAACTGTGGCAAAGATTTCTTGGCTAAGATGCAAAAGGCACTAATTATACAGTGAAAAAAACATGATAAAATAGACTTCATCAACATGTAAAACTTTTGCACATCAAAATCATCACTGAGAAGTGAAAAGGCGATCTACGGACCGGGAGAGAACACTCACAATACATATATTTAACAAAGGATTTGTATGAAAAATACGTAAAGAATTCCTACAAACCAACAATGAAAATATAGTCATAAAAAATGTAAGAATGGGGGCTTCCCTGGCGGCGCAGTGGTTGAGAGTCCGCCTGCCGATGCAGGGGACACGGGTTCGTGCCCCGGTCCGGCAGGATCCCACATGCCGCGGGGCGGCTGGGCCCGTGAGCCGTGGCCGCTGAGCCTGCGCGTCCGGAGCCTGAGCTCCGCAACAGGAGAGGCCACAACAGTGAGAGGCCCGCGTACCGCAAAAAAACAACAACAAAAAAAGTAAGAATGGCCAGTAAGTACACGAAAAATACTCAACATCATTCATCATCAAGGAAAGTAAGTTAAAGCACAGTGAGATATTAAAAGATCCCCATCAGAATGGCAGAATTTGAAAGACTGGTGATTCCAAGTGTTGGAGAGGGCATAAAGCAGCTGGAATTTTTGTACATTGCGGCTGAGAGGGTAAAATGGTATAATGAGTTTGGAAAACTGGTTAGCGGATGCTGATAAAGTTGAACTTACGCTAAAATTATGATTTAGCAATTCCACTCTTATACGGCAAAGAGAAATTAGTCTCTACGTCCACAAAAAAAGCGAACAGAAATGTTCACAGAAGCTTTATTGATAAAGAAAACATGGTAAGCGCACAAATGACCATCAGCAGCAGGATGAATTATTATGATACAAAGGAACAGTGCTGTGCAGTTCAAAGGAAGAAACCATTACGACACATGGAGGTGTCGCAAATGCCTTGTGCTAAGTGAGAGAAGCCAGTATCAGAGGTCACATATGTGTGATTTACAAGACATTTGGGGAAAGGCAACACTCTAGGGATGGAGAACAGCTCCCTGGTGGCCGGGGATGGGGGAGGAGTGTTTGAGTCTAATGGGAGATGTAGAGGGCTGCATCCTGGCTCGGGAGGGCTACAGGAACCTATGTATGCGTTAAGCTCATGGAACGGTACACACAGGAAAAAATGATTTCAACTGTATATAAATTTAAAGTCATTTACATCTAGTGAAAGAAGCCAGACACACTTCTGCAAGAAAACGTAGTATACAATTCCTTTCAGCGAAAGCTGAAAAACAGACTAAACTAATCTAGGTGAAAAAACTCAAAATAGTGGTTACATTGGGGTGGTGATGCAAAATGAGAAAGAGAACTTTCCAGAGTGACAGAAAGGTGCTAAGTCTCGATCTGTGTGACGGTCACGTGGCTATCTACGTACGTATGATGTCCTTGAGTTCTATACTTAGACTTGTTCCCTTTACCTCAGTAAAATGTTGTAAAAAATGTTTGTCGTGACCGGCACGTGATTATGAAGCAAATCCTCAAAACTTCTTCCTTGTTTTCCCACCACTGAATTTTAATCAATACATTTAAATCCCTAAGTTTTTGAGTTTTAAGCTTTCTCCTTGGCAGGAAGTTAGGTACCTAAAGAAGCTTTGTAATTCTGTCTAATGTTAGGTTCAGAAGCCAAAACTGGCTACAGATCTCTAACCTCTTACTACTAAAAACAGCCTTAGGGGCCAGGGAACCTGGGCTTCCCCTGCACTTTATGAGGCTTTCCTTCATCTTAGCTGAGATAACTCAAAATCAGTATGTGACTCAGTCAAAGTGTTACTAATCCCAAAGGTTAGGCGTTTGCTTTCTGGGTTAAGAAGAAAAATGCTATAATAGTTAAGTTAAAAAAAACAAAACAAAAACAAAAAACCTCACATTTCCCAGGAAAGATGTGCTAATTCCTTTTTTAGTTTTACAAAACAGAAAATGTTTTAAACCTAGATTTTAAAAGAATTCAAAGCAACAGTTCATTGTTAGTATGCAAAATCTAGAAAACGACACAGTAGGAAAGCATTAGCCATCAGATTAGCTATTAAATAGACTGCTTCCTGTCACCCTCTCAATTCACAGCCCCCGTGGGAGAGTTTATTAACTTCAGGGGCCAAGTTCACATTAATTAAGCTTAACTGCCCTTGACCACTTAAACAGCTAATCTATAAAAAAAAAAAAAAAAAAAAAAAAAAAAAAAAAGCAGCTGCTTTTGGAGGTATAGAAATATCTATCTCTCTGAGACCTATCTGTCTATAGATATGTAGATATAGGTACGTGTGTATACATAGATATGTAATTATTGACAGGTTTTTCTTTATTTGAATATTTCCATTGCTTCAGCCAGACTGCATTACAAGCATGCATCATTAGTGGATAAACTCCTAACGGTAAAGCATTTTCGTTCACGCGTGCAGTCTCTCGTGTGGAAGAAAATTGAAATCAAACTGCAGCGCTGGCCCATGAGCAGTGGAATCCCTAGCCTTGAACCGCTGGGTAAGGTCAAGTGGAGGGTCCGTGCCAACAGTGAGCAGCCGGACACAAAGAGACATGAGTGTCCATCACTGTCTCGTGTCCACCTGGACCTCCGCTCTGTTACTTTTCCCACAGGCTCCTCAAGCCGAGCGCTCCGACCAGACCACTGCGGCAACCTTGCACTCAAGAAGAGGACTGCCTCTCCCCTGGGCTCTCTTTCCCCGGCCGTTTACCAAAGAGCAGTGTGGCTGGGAGTGAGCCCGGGAGGAGCCGGTGTCCCTCCCCACGCTGGCCTCAGGGCCTGCCCACCTTGGCCCGATCTGTCCCCGTGGAGCCTGAGAACGGGATGCTGCGGCCTGGGTGGAGGTCCGCAAAGCCCCCACTCACTCTAGGGTTGCAGCACCGGGCCCCTCGGGAAAGCAAGTGCTAACGGTCTGAGTCACAGTGAGGACAGGGCAGCTTCATTCAATAACCGCTCTGTCTGGGCTTCAACTCCCACAGCCCTGTGGTCCCGAAGATGCCAAGGGAAGTCGCCTTCAGAACACGCTTCCTTGGATGGATGTGCAGCTCCCCCGTCTTCATTCGTGACAGCTGGCCTTTCAGATCCTCGAACAAGGGAGGGAGACGTTGCTTTTCAAGTCCGATGCGGGGGAAAGAGAAGGGGCTGATATAAGTGTCCGTGACCAGAAACAGCTCGAGCAGAGCCGGGCAGACTGCGGTCCCTGGGGAGGCCAGGGACAGCGCCCCGCAGACACCCCAAGTGGGAGAACGTCAGGTGCCACGCGCCCGCGCCCTCCTCACTTTGCTACGTGTAGTCAGTGGTCGGGAGACGTTGCTCTACGTGGTCCCTAACTGGATGCAGACACGGCCACAGACACCGCGGGGACAGTCAGAGTCCCAGGCAGGGGAACACCGGGGTCCCGAATCTGTGGCCATTTCACTTCCGTCCTCCACAGAACACGGAGTGTTAAAGAAACAAAGGCGCTTTGGCGGAGTTTGTCTCCACTGATCCTATCTTCCTTGTCCTCTAAGTTGGCTTTTAACCCGGAGCATCACCAATCCTCCTCTCCTTCCCGTTACAGGATGTGCCAGCGCTGGACGGAGAGCAGCTTGGGGGTACGGGCAGCATCTCTGCACTCGTGTAGGAGCACATGGACAGGTTTTCCTGGAGTCCGCGATGGCGATGCTGAATCCAAGGCTAAAGGGGACGCCCCGCTCCAGGGCCTGTCCAGATTCAGCAAAGACGATCGCGTACATGACAGGGACAGACACACAAGTGCACAAGACCCCAGGGGCCAGGCCATCTCAGGCCTGCCCTGAGGACAGGCCTTCCTGGGCGGTGTTGGCTCGAATCATAACTTGTCACCCCTCGCCCCCAGCCTCGGGACCTTTGTGCTGGCCCCTCCCTAAGTCTCACCAGTCACCTCCCTGGGGAGCAGAAAAAAGGCACCGGGGTGCAGAGTCTAGAGAGCACACACCACAGTCAAAAATAATTTCCTCAAAATGTCTAGGGGCGTATCTGTTCCCAATTAAAAATATATCCGGAAGCCAGAGAGCTTGATTTCCAACAGACACAGTGGTACAAAAAGAATTTTTAGCACATAAGACTTAGTACATAATAAGGGACATAAGATTTTGTTAGAACAAATAAGTGTTAAGAATATATATAATATATACTGGGTATATGTATATACACTAGACAACCTTTTACTTGATAAAAATACATCATGTACCAGGCAAATGCCCTGAAGCATGTACCACTTACGGTTATTTTGTGTCAATCATAAAATTCTAAGCTTGGCTTACCTGAAAATGAAAAAAAATGTCATAACATTAAACTCTAAAAATTAAGGACAAAAAGTAACTCAAACTTTGTATTTATCCAATACGACCACAAAAAAAATACAAATTTGCATTACACATTCATTTACTTAAAAGAGCTTTAAAACCATCATAATAAAATGATAGGAAATCAAACTTCCTGTTGATCCCCAGGAGCAGGGCAGCGAACTCCTGCAGGGGGATTTGTAATATCATCTAATAAATCAGAGCAAAGAGCAAATGGAACCCCAGTTTGGGAAGATCCTAGTCTCTCTGCAGGTCTTTCAAATTCTCTTCAAGCTTATACATCTGGACTATCCTCTGCTAAATAGTAACTAAACATTGTTTTGTAACATTTATGAGATATTCACAGGAAATGGGGACGTTTTGGATCCATTTTTCCCGGCCATAGAATGTGGATTCATTTCCATGACAACGCCAGCTGCTCAGCCACATCTTCACCCCTCCCCCTTCCCAACTGCCATGACCCACAATAAGTCATCATTCAATTTCTAAATAGATGAGCATTTAAAAAGAAATCTTTGAGGGGGCAATTCTGCTGTCTAGATGTGTCTAGTATTTAAATATCTGAAGAAACGGGTTTCTTCTATATTTTGTAGTTTAGTGGCAGAGGGCGATTGGGTTTCTGAGCCCTGGAAGTCATTCCTGGTATCTTGGCATCATTGATTTGGTAGAGCCACCTTCCTGGGGGTCTTTCCAATGCATGTGACCTCCCCGCCCCCAGCATCTTTACAGACACACAGACTTAGACACATTCATCACAGCAAGAACATTCTTGAGGCAGTGCGGCAACTAAAGCTTCATTTGTTAAAGGTTACTCCAAGTCTGCAGCAAAAATACTCAATAAGGGGGTTATTAAATTTTCTTATGAAATGTCATCAGGGAGCTTTGTTGTCTGGATGTCAGGTTAAAGCCACGACTGGGAAAAATTCTTCTGAAGACAGAAAAGCACGGTGTTATGACTATCAGCATATATCAACCTACTGTGTCACTTGAACTTGAGAGTTCTTTCATCTTCATGAAAAGTATCAGGTGTTGAGTGTGCTTTTTACAGCTCAGAGCCATCAGCCGAGGGTTTCAGAAATGCCCTTTACCACAAAGCCATTGACTGGGTGCAGGGGTTTGACGGGAAGGTGACAGGCCACTGTGTCGTATCGGACGAGGTTCCCATTAGGGTCCCCTCCCCACTGGTCTGGATCATGCAGCTAGAGGACTATAGCACACGCAGATGTTTCAGAATTAATTCACAGTAATCACAGGCAATCGAGAACCTCACAGGTCATCTGTCCAGACCATTTACTTTATAAGTAAGAACTCTGACACCCAGAAGAGGGAGATGGATCTCAAAATAAGGCTGAACCCAAGTCAGAAACCATGTTCCCAAGTGTTGTCCCTTGCAGGAGACAAAGAGGCACCTGGGCAGCACGGGGGGTGACGAGCCTCGGCCAGTGGTGGCCTCCAGCACCCGACAAAGGGGCCTGAGCATGAACAGAGCAGAGCCCTGGGAGTGCTCTGGGGCTGAACACGCCCAGCGGGTGGCACAGAGGCTGAGAAAGGAGTCCAGCGGCGTCCACCAAAGGAGGGGGCCCAGGATGGGGCACCCAACTGGCTCTGAGCTTTAAGAATGAGCCCAGGGACGCCAGGATGCAAACTGGGTGGCTTAAAGGACAAATGCTTATTTCTCCCAGTTCTGGAGGCTGGCAAGTCCAAGATAAAAGTGCCAGCAGATTCAGGGTTTGGTGAGGACCCTTTTTCTGGTCCATAGATGACTGTCTCCCCACGTGGCAGAAAGAGGCGAGAAACCTCTCTGGGGTCTGTTTTGTAAGGACATTAATCTCATCATGAGGGCACCACCTTCATGAACTAATCACCTCCCAAAGCCCCGCCCCCCGCCTCTAATACCATCACCTTGGGGTTTAGGACTTCAGCATATGAACTGCGAGGAATTACCAACATTCAGGCCACAACAACCCTGAATGCCGATTAGACTAATTTTCACAAAAAGACCCATTCACGTACACACTCAATACCAGATGGCGTTTAGATTGATGTAACACGGCTGAGTTAAGGAGTGGGTGTAGG